CAACAAATAGTCACCCAAGGCCGGCCCAATAGTATGGAAAAAAAAACATGGGTTTTAGGTCCCATAAATTTAGGTACATCGCTAACCCAAAAAAAAAAATTAAATCCATTAAATTTTAAGCCATACAAAAAAGCTCCAAAAAATTTAATTCAATCAAAATTTTTATTGCAATAATTTGTATCTATAATCCAATTCATAACATTAAAAATTTAGAAATTAAAAAAATAAAAAATACTCAAAAGTCAAATCATATTTACTCATATCCTCTCTCTCTCTCTCTCTCTCTCTCTCCAGCCAGTAAAAAAAATAAAAAATAAAAACAAAAGTTGAAATTAAATATTCTCTCTCATTCTCTGTGGTAAAAAAACAAAAACAAAAAAGTTGAAATATCTTTTTCCACAATATTAACACATCATTCTTTTGATTGTTATCATACCACAATGATTTTTTAATTTACTACCATTTGGATATCAATTAATAATTAAACATTCATTAAACAATATTTGACATTGTTTTGATTTGTATTCTATCAATTTTTTTTTTAAAAAAAATAATAGGCCCATATTATATTTATCAATTTTTTTTTTTAGTTTTTTTAATTGGCAATTTTTTATGGCATATAGTCTCTTAATGCACATGTATTTACTTTCGATTTTTCTGTTTGTTACATCGTGCCTTCAAGCACAGGTAATTTCTAGTAACTTTATAAATATAAAGATATTTATTACTCAAAACACTCACACACATATTCAGTTCCAAATATATTTTTCAAATCATGTCTGTTATCATTAGCCTGGTAATTGGTCTAATCTCTTGTTATGATTAGCCTGATAATTGGCCCAATCTCCTGTCATCACTAGCCTAATGACTGATCCAATCTCTTGTTACCATTTAGATCTGGTAACTCAATCCCTATCATAGTTACCACAATTCACTAAATCCTTAACGACCCACAATTTGGGTTCAACGATCCAAAACGTGGTGGATTCGCGATCTAGATCACTAAAATTGACAACCCCAAATTGCTGTACTAATTCTAAATCAATTCGCTTTAGGATATGTAGCACAAATATAAAATACATATTAATTGACTACATGTATATAGATTTATAATTATATATTTTAGATAATAGAAAATCAAGCACAATTATCAAATAAATGGTAACTAATTTAGGGTTTATGAATGTTTTGTAATATATAATGTTGTATAGTAGTGAAAACAATCTACATAAGAGTTCTAAAACGAATTGCGACCCAAAATACTGTACTAACTAAACCTATCCTCATCGTACTACGTATCTAAGAAATTGTCGTACCATGTATCTGTACCTGTAGTACGTACCAAAACGACTCACGATCTAGGTAACATTGATCCCTATCTCATAAACATGATTTTCACACACACACACACACACACACACAAAACTGTAATTTTATTCCCAATGCACACAAAATTTTCTTTTCATCACTAAAGTAATGATATAAAATTATTTCATAAGTTTTTCAAAATTCACATGTATAACAGTTCACAATTTCAAAACATTTAATTGCAACACCAAACATCAACACATATATCATATATATCATCACTAGCCTAATGACTGGTCCAGTCTCTTGTTATCATTTAGACCTGGTAACTCAGTCCCTATCATGGTTACCACAATTCACTAAATCCTTAACGACCCACGATCTTGGTTCATCGATCCGAAACGTGGTGGATTCGTGATCTAGATCACTAAAATTGACAACCCCAAATTGCAATACTAATTCTAAATCAATTCGCTTTAGAACATGTAGCACAAATATAAAATTCATATTAATTGACTACATGTATATAGATTTATAATTATATATTATTTTAGATAATAGAAAATCAAGCACAATTATCAAATAAATTGTAACTAACTTAGTGTTTATGAATGTTTTGTACTATATAATGTTATATAGTAGTGAAAACAATCTACATAAGAGTTTCAAAACGAATTGCGACCCAAAATACCATACCAACTAAACCTACTTCCATCGTACCACGTACCTAAGAAAGTGTCGTACCATATATCTGTACATGTATTACGTACCAAAACGACTCACGATTTAGGTAACATTGATTCCCAATCTCATAAACATGATTTTCACACACACACACACACCAAAACTGTAATTTTAGTCCCATCGCACACAAAATTTTCTTTTCATCACCAAAGTAATGATATAAAATCATTCCACAAGTTTTCCAAAATTCACATGTATAACAGTTTACAATTTCAAAACATTTAATTGCAACACCAAACATCAATACATATATCATATATATGAAAAATTCACACTCATGCACTCACACATTTAATATATACCATCCTCCCAAAAGAAGTAGTAAACTACTCACTTTAATTCTCAAAATTCAATTCAAAACCCTTTTTCTCAACCTCAATGTAATCACTATCTAATCCAAAATAACATATAACGATCAATCTCTATTCCTAATTTTGTCATTCTGCAATTCTATATTTATTTTACGTACTTACTACCCATTGATATATACTTAATATATTATTTACATAAAATATCTTTTCTAATACGAGATAATAGGGTATAGAAGTATTTTAAACTGTTTAGAAAAAATTTCTAAAGTTTTGGATTAAAATTACAATTTTTGAAAATTTTGAGGTCAAAGTATAATTTCTTTGAAAAACGAATTTTTTGTTTTCAAGGCTGCCATAAATTTTCCAGAATTCTGTTCTTGCAACTTACCAAGTAAAAAGATGGTTAAAAATTAAATGTCCAAGAATATAGGGGTCCAACTAAAGTTCCTTGAAGTCAAAGGAGTTGATTATGTAATTTTTGGACTTTGTCTTCTTCGAAATCATCTTGCTTGTATATTCTGCAAGTTCAAATCCCTTTCTTTTTTTTTTTCTTTTTCTTCCCAACACATTGATTAAACTCAATTAATTCCAAACAACTATAAACTTAAAGTTCAACTTAATAATTTCAATAATCAACAAGGTACCATAAGACTCATATATATATATATATATATATATATATATATATAGATACTAACATTATAAACCCTACATTATCTAATTGAATAAGAATATAACACTCATAAGAAAAGTAATCAATCCATACCTTTAATAGAATCAACCTTTTTTTTTTCTTCCTTTTTTCTCTGTCTTTCTCTCTCCCCTAAGCTGCCTCTTTCTTTTTTTGTTTCTTCCTTTTTTTTTTTTTTAAATTTTGCCCTCTTTTAACTGCATATATATATATATATATATATTTATACAAAGTAAAAGAAACTCTACAGTAGTCCTACAATTCCTCATTCTTTAATTACACTAACATCTTTTTTTAAAAAGAATATCACAAATTGACCTAAAAAATAATATTAAATATATTTTAAATTTGGAATATTACATACATGGTTATCAAGTAAAATTCACTTTATGAGAATAATGTGATTTATTACTTGACTTTGATAGTCTCGTGGTGACAAAGTACCCTTCTAAGTTACTTGTTCCGTTTCTAAATATTTGTCGTTTTATACAATTTTTTTTGTTTCACAATATCTGTTGTTTAATGAAACCAAAACATAATTAATATTTTTTCTTCCAAATTTACCCTTAATTTTTCAATGCATTAGATTAGGTGGAGGGTAAATGTCTTTCATATTCTTTTCCTTCTCAATACAAATTGAATAAAAATATTTTAGTCTTGTGCAATTATTTTTTACTCATATTAGAGTAATGTAATTGCTTCCTTAATTCCTATGCAAAAACCTCAAACGGCAGATATTTTGAAACAAATAAAAAATTAGTTATAACTCAAATCAGACGTGAGGACTCCAAGGTTTTTGACATGCAGTTTCACCTCATTTATAATGTTACAATGTTTTCATTATAAGCACAACATTGTAATCAGTGTACTACTGGAGCATGCACATGTAACAAAGATAAAATCTCACAGCCAGAAGGATTAATTTTAGTTTGAAAACATAGTGTCTGACATAATTAATTTATTGGGGGTATTGGGTGCCGTGTATATTCGTCTCTCCATAGGTTACATGCCCATGCACCATATTCCCATGAGATAAAATATTATGCTTATTAAATTGTTGATTAAAATGGCGTCGTAGATCAATAAAAAAATTAGATACTTTTAGTCTCTTTATTTGTTAGGTGTGAGTTGCCATTTATTTATCTCTCCAAATTCAGAAATATTATTTAAACTTAAAATATAAATTTAATCGATCACAACATATTAAATAGATAGTGAATTTTAATAAAATATCACATCTCTTATTACAAATAGACATATTTATCCCTAATATCATTCATTTCTTTTTAGTAGGAGGGTTATAATGGTAAATTTGAGTCTTCTACTGTCGTTGGCCCAAATCCTACCAATTAATACGACTAGATGGTATTAATTGAAGTCATCTACATGGGGATAATAATACTGTAGTTATCGGATCAGTATTAAGATTCAAAAATTACAATTGCACACAAAAACGAAAAAAAACAAATATTAATAGCCCGCGTTCTATTTCACCAGATCCCACACCCTTACACCACTATTATACCGCAAACAAACACACCCTTAATGATACCCAGCCAACCACTTTGAGTTTTCAACCAGTTATGCACCACAGAAGATACAAACCCTCGTTATCTTTTTATTATAATCTCATAGACAGAAGTCTAAGCAGGCAGCGCTATCTTAGACATCATAGTACTACTTTGTAGCTATTCACTGTTCACAGCTGCATTGTTTATGGCTTTTGCACAACGTATGCTTTGAGCCGTTCTGTAGATCATTTCAGTCTAACACCATAATCATCATCATTACCAAACTCTGGACACAGATGCATTAACATCAAGACATCGTTATCATGGCCAGCATCAACAGTTTGAGAATACAATAAGATAATTGGTGTTCAAAGTTGAAATTCAGTCTCAGGAAGAAGAAGCTGAACGAACGGCTGAAGTAATCGAAGACATTACATGATGATGATAATTAATGAACCACTGCTTCCCCAACAACAACCTCCTCTCCCATCATCTCTTCTCATCTATCTCTATGTTGGTCACTTCTTATCCAGATGGGGTGCTAGGTCTCTCTCTCTCTCTCTCTTCTCTTTCGATTGACTTTGTCTGCATACGTTGGCTCACCATCTTGTGCATGTGGGTTTTTTCCGATTCAATGATACTCCCAACCGTAGTCTTTGTGATATCATCAGATCTTATGGTGGAGTTTTTACTTCTGTTTTTTTTTAAACCATTTGAGTTGGCCATCACCCCAATTATTAGCCTTAATTTTCTAGTCTTTTACTTTTTCAACAAGTTCGGTTTTATTGTTATCATTAGATTCGAGTAGTACTTGCAATCGGAACTTAGTACTAATTGTTTTGTCAATTATACTCCTAAAGTTTTTAAGTAATATGTGTAATTTGATATAGAAACTTTAGTAAATCAACTCAAATTTTATATCAATTTTTTAAAAAAGAATTCCAATAATCTTAAAGTGTCCATTACTTTCCTTTTTTTCCTTCAAAACTTCTTTTCTTCCTCCCTTTTCTCTACCTCTATATCATTTTACTTCAAAGTTCAAAAAACTAAAAAACTTGATTTCTACAATTTGAAAATTTTGAATTCAATAAATTGCTATTGATGGTAAATGATCTGAGATTCATTTTAGTCAAATTTAACTTTCTAATGAATTTTAGTAGATATTGACAAAGAGATAGAGAAGAGAGACACAGAGACGAGACTGAAATAGTGAAATATTACCATTATAGGTTTGAGTCACCATTGATTTGAGACCAAATTTGGTTTTTCCTTTGTCTGGTTATCCCTTCAATTTGTATGAGTTTCAGTACTAATACTTTGCTTTCGCATTTTGAGATTAGAGTGATTGGATTCTTAAGAGGGAGGGGGGAGGGGGCAAGGAGGTTTTATATATGGACTGCATTTGTTTCATTTTCTTTATCTTGATTTATAATATATTCTACCTTTCATTGAGTACCTTTTAAAGGTTGAAAAACAACTTGAGCTCTCAAATTGGATTCTTTCTTTTTATTCAATTGTGATTTAGATGTAAAAATTCGGATATTGTGAACTCTTTCATAAGCTTTGTTATGCCTTGAAGGCATTTTTGTTGGAAAAAGACCCATCACCTATAATCCTTTCAAGAATAGTGAACAAATAGCAGTTACTGAATTTCAAACATGCACTTGTGGCTTGAACATCATGTAATATGCTATAGCAATGCGCCTCTTGTGCTATTCAGACTTTTGAAGTTTAATGGCTATATCTTTATGCAATTTGGATCTTTTTGGTTCAGGATGTGGGAATTCTCAGTTGGTTTATTCATGATCAATGTTTGGCCAGACTCTTTATTCCTTGCTGCTGCTTATGGACTGGTAGAGTCTGCCTCCACCGCATTATTGGGTCCCCTTGTTGGACAGTGGGTTGATAGGTTGACATATGTTAAGGTTTGCTCCTAGTTCTATCCTATCATGCCTCCTTTGTCCCTGCATTACAAATATGTTTTGGAAACTATTTCCACAACAGGTATTTGATCGTACAACTCCAATTCTTGAAATGTTGGAGATATTCAAATGGACCAAAAATGAGACGATGCATAGATTGACAGAAACATTGTTAAAACATTCAAATGCATTTAGATCTTCCACCACAAGGCTAAAGACAGAACAAAGACGTCAGACATCTATCAACTGGTGCTATTAGGAGGAAAATTGGCAGAAACAACAAGTGTTCATATAGAGGATGGAATAGCAACTCTTTCGCTTTTTAAGAGTTTAAAAAAATGCCTAATAGTCCTTACTGAGTTGTCTGATCTTGAAGCTTATACTTTTTTTTTTTTCATGAGCAATTGTAGGTTATACTGTTGACAAACACATCTTGGATTTTTGTTGACAGGTTCTCCAAATTTGGTTGTTATCCCAAAATATCGCTTTTATGGTTGCTGGAGGCACGGTGGTTGCGCTTCTGCTCTACTCAGACTTAAAGTCAACAAATTTTGTGGCATTCATTTCTGTGGTCATATTAGTCAATATCTCTGGGGCTGTTGGTATGCTTTCCACCCTTGCGGGAACCATCTTGATCGAAAGAGAATGGTGAGTGCATGTGCAGGCCAATAAAAAAAGTGAAAAGGGGAAGGTGGGGCATTAATGAGCCACTCTAGGCATAAGTGTTATCACATACATATGTAGTTAGAACTACCGTCCCACCTGTCATTATATCCTTAATTGGATTCTATTTTAAAACTTTCTGTAACCCCATTTTCAATTTTAAAACAAACATTACAACCCAAATTCTGGTGAGAATCTGAGATATCTTTCCATCATTTTGTCCCTTGAGTACTCAAAGGGAGCATAAAGATTTTTAGATTTTACAGAATGACATTGGTGTTTGAATTCTCTAATGCAATACATTTATGTTTAAATTGCAGGGTGGTGGTAATATCAGAAGGCCAGCCTCCCGGAGTACTGACAAAGATGAATTCAATTATAAGACGAATTGATTTAACATGCAAGCTTGGTGCTCCTGTAATAACCGGATTCATAATAAGCTTTGTATCTCTGACAGCATCAGCGGTGACACTAACACTCTGGAATGTCATAGCTGTTTGTTTGCAATATTGGCTTCTAATGCATGTATATAATGGGATTCCAGCTTTAAGTGAAAGCAGCTACAAGAGGATGTCGAGACTTTCACCGACAGATATGGAAGAGAGCTCATCTACTTCTCAGGAGGAAAAGAGCTTAGTGTCTTATGACGGAAAAAATTTGGAGTTAAACCAAAACAGCTTCGGAAGCAAAATAATTGAGCAGTTTACTAAGATTCCTCTTGTTAGTGCTTGGAGATTGTACTTAAAGCAAGATGTGGTGCTCCCAGGAATAGCTCTTGCTTTATTGTATTTCACTGTCCTCAGGTGAGCTCTCCATTGATTTGTAACAAAGGTACTCCCTATTTAAGGGAGTGTGTGGGAACAACTGCATGCCAGAGCGGATTTTAATGCCCTACTTTGTAGTATTTTCTGTTATCAGAAGGAAAATAAAGATGGAGATATGTCACTAACTCTAATATGTTCTGCCAGATTCCTCTTTGAATTCCCCTTTTATATCTCCTCCAAAGGCACTACTGTTCCCCACATTCATAATTTCAACACTTAGCTCAAAGTCACTTCCGAATACAACCCAGTATAATTTACAAGCTAGAAGAGATTGATTTTTATTGCTTTTTGAGCTTTGATTCTTTGGCACAATTCTTATTTTAATTTGTTATTGCAGCTTTGGAAGTTTGATGACTGCTACATTGGAATGGGAAGGTATACCTGCATATGTTATTGGAATTGCTCGTGGAATTAGCGCCATAATAGGAATAGCTGCAACTTTTCTGTACCCTATCCTGGAATCTAGCATTTCTACGCTTCGAACTGGACTCTGGTCCATCTGGTCTCAGGTATTTGGTTTACGAGACTGAAAATATTGACATTCTTCTCCTTTTAGAGACATCTAATACAAATCCCCTGCCTTTCTGGAATATAAATCCACTGGAGTGTATTCTTACATTGAGTTAGTTAATAGTTGGTCTTAGTCACATTTTTTTTATTGTGATGTCCCTGAATTTTATGCAGTGGATGTGCCTCTTGGTATGTGTTGCCTCGATATGGGTCCAAAACAACCTCACATCAGCATATATGCTGATGGGTGGAGTAGCAGCATCACGTCTTGGACTGTGGATGTTTGATTTATCTGTCATCCAACAAATGCAGGTAAGGGGGATTAAATTGGAGTCTAACCATTTTAAGTCAGGATAACCGTATGGTTCTCGTTCTTTTAATGTCTGAACGATGTCTGCGTTGTCCAATGATACTTGAATAGGATCAAGTTCCTGAATCTGATCGTTGTGTTGTGGGAGGGGTTCAAAATTCAGTGCAATCTCTTCTGGACTTCATGACTTATTTTATGGGGATAATCATCTCCAATCCGCAGGTATTTTCCTTGGCATCACAACTTTTGGTCTGATGTTGTAGGGGGATAAAGCTGTATTCTTGCATAAACTGTGAAAATATGTATGCTCGTATGTGATCGAGTGATATAATGATAGATATGTATCAAACAACTGCAGTTAGGATTGTTAGCATCTCTGTGCATGTGCATGTCTGGTGTTAGCACCAGTCATAATTAAAGCAGAAGTTTAAATTGTCATAACTCATAAGAAGCATCAGTTTCCTCTTTAAATTAAGATCAATGATATGAAGAGTCTAAAGTATCACTTGTTTATATCACTTGGACAAAGAAAACAAATAGTGAAAATGTGAAAGCTGACCAGTAAACAATGAAGGAATTGAAGACCTTGACACAGACCAATTTACTTTCAAAATCACTGGAATGTATTAGAGCAATGGAAAACAGTAAAGAAAAGAGCTAACTTATTATTGTTACATGGAGAGCATGTGAAGGGAAAGATGAATTTATAGATCAAACAGAAAGAATACAGTGAAAATCCTCTTGAATGTCTTGGATAATGAAGATTTCACTATAGTTAAATGTTTTTGAATTTGATATATATTAGGCAAAATATTCTGATTTTGTAAAAAACGTTGTGATTCAGTATTGTTTGATAGCCCATCAAGCACTTTACCTTGAAATCATGTCAGTATCGTCTGAAATGAGTAATTACGAGTGAAATGTCTTCCATATCATTTAGAGGGACATATTCTAACCATTCGGATACATTAACCTGCAGAGAAAATTCTGCTAATTTAAGCTTCATGAATCTGAGCACTGTTTAGTGATGAACTGAAGCAACAACCAAGTGTCAACGAAAACATGCCAGGCATGACAGCTAAACATTAATAAAGTGTTGACGCTCTCACTTTTACGAAGTCTTCATAGGGAAATTTTCACTGCTTGAGTTAAACATGTGTATAAAAAATATAAGGAACATGTTCCTTTTACGTTCTCATAAGCGATCGTCAGCTTTTACTTTGTTTCTATAGCATTTGGTTTTGAGTTCGGATTTCTGAATGTGACTGTGGGTTACCTTCTTTGTCATCACATTAATACAAGAGTTGGGTGACTTTGGAAGAGTGATTGGTCATCTAGTTATTCTTAATTTTGATCAAGGTTATCACCATTGTCAGATGAAGTTGAATAGATGCTAAAATACAATCTCACGGCTTCCTACCTTTTTCTGATTCTCAGTTCCTGCCATCCTGATAATGCTTGGTTTCTGTCTATGTTGGGTGATGTAATTTATTTCTAGTATAAACTACCCACTCGTTTTCCCGGCATCAAATTATTAAATTCAACTCAAGCAACCCTTTTCCCAACTCCCGATTAATATGTCTAGGATCATAGCTTCAGCTAAAGGTCCTAAGAGTTATTACCTTCTTTCCAATCTTGCTTTCTTATATCGTTAGACATAAAAATGCTTGTGTGCGCTCGCTGTACATGTGCCTGAACCCATGTAAAATGTGAAATGGTCACATGCTTTAAGGAATTTATGATGAGTCAGAAAAACAGGCGATAAGAAGTTCAGTTTGAAGATAGATGGGGAGGATGATAAAGAAAGATAAGTAGCTGGCAAAGTGCTCACATTTGATGGAGTTAACATCATCTTTGAGAATTGACAATCTGTAAATAAGATCTTTCTTTGAGATATTCATGCCTGAATATTATTTAATTTGCTTTCAACTGTTGTATTCGTGTTTAGGATTTCTGGAAGTTGACAATGTTATCCTTCATACTGGTGACACTGGCTGCAGTACTGTACAGTCTACACATTTATCGAGTACGGAAGCACCTCTTCCATGGTGAGAAGGTGTTTATGCTGGTCCAATGGTGTGTAAGATCCTCTTAAGGTTCATGTCGAAATAAAGTTGAATTGCCTTTTACTTCTTGTTGTGGATATCTGAGGCTTGTGTTGAGTTTGTGATCCACCACATCCTTTGTAAACTAATCCAAGATAAAATTTATATAATGATCATCATTATGGGATCCTATATGACACTGTTTGATGATCGAATTGCCACTCATTCAAACCCTTGATGATTCAGTCCCAGTCTCTTGTCTGCTATGCCAACTACTACTAGAATATTATCCAGTAAACAATACACTATGATTCTGTGCTGCTAACATTTTTGTACGGTTGATGACTCTTTGACCTGGTCTTCTTTTGTTGCCTTCATCAACCAAACCCCTGGATTAAGTAACTTAAACAGGCAGAGAAAATGATTTGCTAGCTTAAAAGTCTGTCAAGGTTGTACTATTGACTTGGGTTCAAATTCTGCTTCATTTTTTGGAATAATTGATCGATCCTAAACACCATGAGAAAATTTATCCATTGTAGAATGACTTCAATTTCAGAGAAATGAAAGCAAATAATCACTAGAGTGTCATTTTTTTCATATGAATGTTATAAGCCATGAAAATTTTAAATAATGTACTCGAAACAAAAATGCATCCTCAAATTACTTGGATATAATTTCATTTGCCCATTATGTGGAAATCTTAAGAAAGAATACAAAAATGAGAGATCTAACCACCCCAACTTCTTCATTGGTTCCTTTTCGTAGATAGACTTTTCCTTGGTCAGTTACCCGAATCTATTTATGAATTTAAGTCAGAAATACCATGATTATACCACCCGACTTGGTACTGTATTCGTTTAGGATTGTCCTTGATTCTTATGTTGTCATACCATCATTCCGGATCACATAGGGTGGGTGACAGACCGGCCACCAAGACCTTAACCAATCAACTCTGTGCATAATAAATGCAAAATAAAACAGAAGACAAATAATGGCGTGATCTATTCCACTGACCTAATAAATACCAGAAGAATAAATTAATCATCACCAACATTATTACTAAATCTATGTAAAACTATAATTAAACCATAGGATTCACTACTCTAAATATAAGTAATATTGTTCTCAAAACAATTAAACATTTGTCTTAAAACTATAAAAGACATTTAGTCCTGAATACCTATAATAAAATAAATCTGTAAATCCTTTAATATTTTGTCTATCTGCAGACTTACTCCTCATCCTAATCCTCACCTGAAAAATGTTAAATGTTTGTATGAGCACAATGGTTCGTGAATAACAACTACTTCTAATGAGGTGTGAAAATAAATTCTACAGTTTATATACAAAAATAAACTTTGATACATACATGAGTACAACAAATTGTACCACAACCCCTCTCACATAATCATTTAAACAAAATGATCTCAGGATCACAAATAACTTTATAAATGAAAAGACATTTATAACCCAAAATACCATTCATTTTCAAAAATAACATTATAAATGAAAAGACATTTATAACTCAAAACACTCACACACATTCAGTTTCAAAAATATTTGTCAAATCTTATTTGTTACCATTAGCCTGATAATTGACCTAGTCTCTTGTTACCACTAGCCTGGTAACTGGCACAGTCTCTTATCATCATTAGCCTGATGACTGGTTCAATTTCTTGTTACCACTTAGACCTGGTAACTCAGTCCTCATCTCATAAACATGATTTTCACACACACACACACCAAAACTGTGATTTTAGTTCCATCGCATACAAAATTTTTTTTTCATCACCAAAGTAATGATATAAAATCATCCCACAAGTTTTTTAAAATTCACATGTATAATAGTTCACAATTTCAAAATATTTAATTATAACCCCAAATATTAACACATATATCATATATATGAAAAGTCCACACTCATGCACCCACACATGTAATATATAACATCCTCCTAAAAGAAGTAGTAAACTACTTACCTTGATTCCCAAAATTCAATTTAAAACTCTCTTTCTCAACCTCAATACAATCACCACCTAATCCAAAATAACATATAACGATCAATCTTTATTCCTAATTTCGTCATTTCGCGATTCTATATTTATTTTTCGTACTTCCTACCTATTGATATATACTTAATATATCATTTACAAATAAATATCCTTTCTAATACGAGGTAATAGGGTATAGAAGTATTTTGAGCTGTTTAGAAAAAGTTTCTGAAAATTTTTAGGTTAAAGTATAATTTCTTTGAAAAATGAATTTTCTGCTTTCAAGGCTGCTATAAATTTTCCAGAATTCTATTCTTGCCACTTACCAAGTAAAAAGGTGGTTAAAAATTAAATTTCAAAGAATATAGGGGTCTAACTAAAGTTCCTTGAAGTCAAAGGGGTGAATTATGTAATTTTTGGACTTTGTCTTCTTCAGAATCATCTGGCTTGTATATTCTACAAGTTCAAATCAAATCCTTTTTTCTTTTTCTTCCCAACACATTGATTAAACCCAATCAATTCCAAACAACTGTAAACTTAAAGTTCAACCTAATAACTTTAATAATCAATAAGGTACATATATGTATATGTATATGTATACAAACACCAACATTATAAACCTTACACTATCTAATTAAATAAGAATATAAAACTCATAAGAGAAGTAATCAATCCATACCTTTAATGGAATCAACCCTTTTTTTTCTTCCTTCATTCTCTCTCTTTCTTTCTCCCCCAAGCCGCCTCTTTCTTTCTTTGTTTCTTTCTCTTTTTTTTTAAATTTTTCCCTCTTTTGACTGCCTATATATAAAGTAAAAGAAACTCTATAGTAACCCTACAATTCTTTATTCTTTAATTACACTAACATTCCTTTTTTAAAAAGAATATCACAAATTGACCTAAAAAATAATATTATATATATTTTAAATTTGGGATATAACATACGTGGTTATCAAGTAAAATTCAATTTATGGGAATAACGTGTTATTTGAATTTAAAATATAAATTTGATTGATCACAATTTATTAAATAGATAGTGAATCTCAATAAAATGTCACATCTCTTATTACAAATAGACTTATCTACTCCTAATATCATTCATTTCATTTCGGTAGAAGGGTTATAATTGTAAATTTGAGCCTTATACTGTCGATGGTCCAAATCCTTCATCTACATGGGGTTAATGATACTGTAGCTATCGGATTAATATTGAGATTCGAAAATTACTATTGCACACAAGAACGCAAAGAAACAACGTATGAATAGGCCCGCGTACTATTTCACCCAACCTCACGCCCTTACCCTAGTATTATGCTGCAAACAAACACTGTTAGAGATAGTTAGTATGTAAAAAATCCCACATTGAAAAAGTTGAAAGGAATGTAAGGGTTTAAAAGGAGAAACACACCAAATTTTATAAATTTGGATGGTGGAAAGATTTGGAGGGAAGCTCCAAATATTTCAAATCAATGGGCCTTAATTAGAATTTAAATAAAATAATCTTTAAAATCAAAAGATGGGCACTTGGAGCATCTTGGGCTTGAAACCTTTAAATAATTAATTATTTTTGTATTAATTAATTGCTAAATGTCTTTTGCCCCAAGAGTTGTGTCTCCTTTTTACATCTCTTTAGCCCAAGAGTTGTGTCTCATCACTAAGGTATTATAAATATCTGTACAGATCTTTCAACTTAAGGATATACAAAAAAATGTTTATCTATTCTGCTCTTAAGAGAATTTTAGAGTTTGCTATCTGAAATTAAATAATTAATTATTTTTGTATTAATTAATTGCTAAATATCTTTTGGCCCAAGAGTCGTGTCTCCTCTTTACATCTCTTTGACCCAAGAGTTGTGTCTCCTCACTAAGGTATTATAAATATCTGTACAGATCTTTCAACTTAAGAATATACAAAAAAATGTTTCTCTATTCTGTTCTTGAGAGAATTTTAGATTTTTCTATCTGAACTTCTGTTTGACTTTGTTAATCCTAGAGGAATTTTCCATAAACCCAACAGCAACATAGTGGGGGCATAATTTCCTTACGGATAGTGAATACATAATCAAAGCCTTCTAATTTGGTGAAATTCTATTTTACTAACAATCTTAAGGAAATTATACAACAATGGAGGCTACTGGTTCAAATTTTGTTTTCAAGTTCAATCCCGAAGTGTTCAAGTTGAATCGTTTTGATGGAACGAACTTCACGCGCTGGAAGGATAAATTATTTTTCTTGCTTACTGAATTGGGTGTTGCGTATCTACTAAGTGGAAATCTGTCAACTATTCCTGAACCATCTGACAAAGAAGATGAAGAAACTATAGCAACTCGCAAGAAACGCATGGAGGATGAAGTTCGTTGCAGAGGCTATATTCTGAATTCACTGTCTGATCGATTATACGATCTGTTCCATTCAATCAAATCTCCACAAGAAATCTGGAGTGCCCTGGAGAAGAAATATACATCTGTTAAGCAAGGTACGAACAGATTTTTCGGTATGAAATTTTTTGAATTCAAAATGTTTGATAATAAATCTGTCATGGAACAAGTAGATGAATTGCTTGTCCTAGTATCTAGACTCAAGGATTTTAAAATAGAAGTGTCTAAATAACTTCAAGTGGCTACGGTAATTGCAAAATTGCCTACTACTTGGAATGATTATCGAAAGAAATTGTTGCACACTTCTGAAAATTTTACCATAGACCAACTCATGAAGCATATTCGAATAGAAGAAGAAACTCGCAGTCGTGAGAATAAAAATGCTTCAGAGTTTGGTTCTAAAGTAAACAATATTGAGTCTAATATGAAGAAATCAACAAAGACTGGTAATACTTCTGGAAATAAAAGGAAGTATATTGAATCTTCAAGTAATAATTCTGCCAACTTTAAGAAGAACAAAACATGTTTTTTCTGTGGCAAGAATGACCATTTCAAGAAAGAGTGCAGGTTCTATAAGAGATTGAAGACAGAGGCAAATGTTGGGACAAAAGAAGGCAAATATTGTTGCACGTCCTCCAAGTCCTTTTGAAATTATAGCCATGATTGCTGAACTAAAAATCAGCATGATTACAGAATGCAACATGACAACAACTGACAAGACTGCAGATTAGTGGTATGATTCTGGTGCAACAATGCATGTTTGTAATGACAAAAATTTGTTCAAGAACTATGAAGTTGTATCAAAGGATGAAAGTGTTCTGATGTGGAATCATGATACTGCCAAGGTGCATGGAAAAAGGACTGTTGAACTGCAGTTTACCTCTAGAAAGAAACTGATCTTAATGAATGTATTTCATGTTCCTGATGTGAGAAAGAATCTAATATTTACAAGTTTTGTTGTGCAAAAAGGGCTTGAAAGCAGTCTTAGAGGCAGAAAAAATTATATTTTCTAAAAATGGTGTCTTTGTTGGACAAGAGTATTCATGTGATGACATGTTTAAGTTGAGCATTAATAAAGTTGATGTTTCTGTTTATATTCTTAAATCTCCTTTTAATTTATGGCACACTCGTTTATCACATGTTATTTATGGATCAATTAAGTATATGTCTAGGCATGGTTTAATTCCATGTACAAATAAAAATTTTGAAAAATGTGAAATATGCATACAAGCAAAAATGACTAAGAAACCTTTTCCAAAGAATGAAAGAACAACTGAAACACTTGAACTTGTGCATTCTGATATATGTGAATTAAATGATCATTTAACTAGAGGAGGAAATAGATATTTTATTACTTTCATTGATGATCATTCTAGGTTCACTCATGTTTATTTAATGAGAACTAAAGATCAAGCATTTGATATGTTTAAATGTTATAAAACTTTGGTTGAAAATCAATTGAAAAAGAAAATTAAAATCCTACGAAGTGATCGAGGTGGTGAATATTTTCCAATTGAATTTACTGTTTTTTGTGAAGAAAATGGTTTAATTCATCAAACGAGTGCACCTTATACTCCACAACAAAATGGTTTGGCTAGAAGAAAGAATAGAACATTGGTAGATATGATTAATGATATGCTTATGCATGCTAAACTACCAACAAATCTATGGGGAGAAGCTCTATTAACAGCTTGTCATGTGCACAATAGAATATTCTCAAAGAAAATAAAAACTTCTCCATATGAAATATGGAAAGGAAGAAGGCCAAACTTAAACTATTTGAGAGTATGGGGTTGTATAGCCTATTATAGAGTTCCAGATCCTAAAAGAACTAAATTAGGACCTAGAGCTCTTAAGAGTGTTTTTGTGGGTTATGCTAAAAGTTCAAAAGCATATAGATTGTTGGACATAGACTCGAATGCTATCATAGAGTCTAGAGACGTTGAATATTTAGAAACAAGTTTCTTGGAAATTCAAATGTCAATCAACAATCGAATAGAGAAAATGTTGAACCTCTAGTTACACAAGACATTAATATGGATCAAAATTCTTTAAATAATAAACGGAAACGAGTTGAATCTCCTAGTGAACCAAGGAAAAGTCAAAGGGTAAGAAAAGAGAAGAACTTGAATTCTGATTTTATTTCTTCACAAGCAATAGTCTTCTTAGTTGAAGGAAGTAGAGATGAGATTTTAAATAAAAAACCCATTGTTATGCATTTGGAAGAAGATCCTAAAACTTATAGTGATGCAATGGCATCAAGAGATTCCAGTTTTTGGAAGGAAGCAATAAATGATGAAATGGATTCACTTCTATCAAATGGAACATGGGTATTGATTGACTTACCACCTAGTTGCAAACCAATTGGATGTAAATGGGTGTTTAGGAGAAAATATAATACTAATGGTTCTCTACAAACCTTCAAAGCAAGACTAGTGGCAAAAGATTTTAGACAAAAAGAAGAAGTTGATTATTTTGACACATATGCTCCGGTGGCAAGAATTACTTCAATAAGAGTGTTGTTTGCTTTAGCATCAATATATGATTTATACATCTATCAAATGGATGTTAAAACAAAATTCTTAAATGGTGATCTCGATGAGAAAGTATATATGGAACAACTTGAAGGATTTGTACTTCCTGGTAATGAAAAGAAAGTTTGCAAATTGGTGAAATTCTTGTATGGATTAAAACAAGCTCATAAACAGTGGCATGAGAAATTTGATAGTGTCATATTATCTTATGGTTTTAATCATAATGGAGCAGATAGATGCGTTTACTCCAAATTTACTAAAGACTATGGTGTAATAATTTGTCTCTATGTTGATGACATGTTAATCATATGAACCAATTTGAAAGGAGTAAATGATACTAAGAGATACTTGACTTCTCAATTTAAAATAAAATATTTGAGAGAAGTCGATACTATCTTAGGGATTAAAGTTAAGAAACATAGTGGGGGTTTTACTTTGTGTCAATCTCATTACATTGATAAGATTCTCTCCAAGTTTAAACACTTGGGAATTAAAGAAGCTAATACCCCATTTGATGTTTCTAACAAATTGACAGAAAATTCGAGTAGATCCATTAGTCAATTAGACTATGCAAGTGCAATTGGTAGTTTAATGTATGTTATGCATTGTACTAGACCTGATATTGCCTTTTCTGTATGCTAACTTTCAAGATATACAAGTAATCCTAGTTCCAAACATTGGAGGGCTATTGGTAGAGTTTTCGGTTATCTTAAAAGGACAAAGTCATTTGCCTTGTTTTATAACAAATTTTCTTCGGTACTAGAAGGCTATACTGATGCTAGTTGGATAACTAGTATCAATGATAACAAATCAACATCTGGTTGGATTTTCACTTTAGGTGGAGGAGCTATATCATGAGCTTCTAAGAAACAGACGTGTATTACACATTCCACAATGGAATCTGAATTTATTGCGTTGGCAGCGGCAAGTAAAGAGGCGGAATGGCTAAGAAATTTATTATTGGATATAAAGTTGTGGCCACAACCAATGCCAACAATCTCTTCGCACTGTGATAGTCAAGCAACTATGTCTAGGCCTTTTAGCAAGATTTATAATGGTAAATCTAGACATATTGCTTTAAGACATGAATATATTAGACAACTACTTTCTGATGATATAATCACAGTTGTTTATGTCAGGTCTAATAAAAACCTGGCTGATCCATTAACTAAAGGACTCTCGAGAGATAACTACAAGTGCAATGGGTCTTAACCAATTCTAAATTTGTCACTAATAATGGAAACCCTACCTTTCTTATTGCTTAGCAATTTTAAAGGTTTAAGTGGTAATAACAAGTTATTAGTAATTGTTAGCAAGCACAAGGTTTTATACATAGTGCTTATGGAAAAGGAGGTTGAATATTAATTATTCTTAATGGTGAATTTGTGTTCGATTTTATGAACAAGAAAGTTCAAACTTTGAAACTTTAACAGCTCTTCACCTATGTGAACACAAGAAGTGGTGTCGTTTCTATCAAAAGTTTGAAAATAAAACTTTTGTAAGTGTTCATGAAACTAGGAGGTAGTAAAAGACAATAATATGGTGCTAAAGCTCACGGTGAACATATTTAGAGAAACTTATAAGTTTATGTGTAAGACATTTTTGATCTTGTTCTATATAATCAAGGTTTAATAAATTTAAATAACCATTGATTTTGACAAGTTTTTGAAATATTTATACTAATATCAGGTTTAAGTCAAAAGATATCATCTATATGCATAGACTTTAGTTAATTTTAATTACTTACATTACTATCTAAGTGGGGGATTGTTAGAGATAGTTAGTAATGTAAAAAATTCACATTGGAAAAGTTGAAAGGGAATGTAAGGGTTTAAAAGGAGAAACACACCAAATTTTATAAATTTGGATGGTGGGAAGATTTGGAGAGAAATTTCAAATATTTCAAATCAATGAGCCTTGATTAGACTTTAAACAAAATAATCTTTAAAATCAAAAGATAGGCACTTGGGGCATCTTGGGCTTGAAACCTTTAAATAATTAATTAATTGTTAAATGTCTTTTGTCCTGAGGTTGTGTCTCCTTTTTACACCTCTTTGGCCCAAAAGTTGTGTCTCCTCACTAAGGTATTATAAATACCTGTACAGATCTTTCAACTTAAGGATATACAAAAAAACGTTTCTCTATTTTGTTCTTAAGAGAATTTTAGAGTTTGTTATCTGAAATTAAATAATTAATTATTTTTATATTAATTAATTACTAAATGTCTTTTGACCCAAGAGTCGTATCTCCTCTTTACCTCTCTTTGGCCCAAGAGTTGTGTCTCTTCACTAAGGTATTATAAATATCTGTACAGATCTTTCAACTTAAGAATATAAAAAAAAACGTTTATCTATTTTGTTCTTGGGAGAATTTTAGAATTTGTTATCTGAAATTTTGTTTGACTTTGTTAATCCTAGAGAAATTTACCATAAATCTAGCAGCAACATAATGGGGACATAATTTCCTTACGAACAGTTAATACACGATCAAAACCATCTAATTTAGTGAAATTCTATTTTGCTAACAAACACACCCTTGATGGATTCATAGATACCCAACCGACCACTTTGAGTTTCCAACCAGTTATGCACCACAGAAAATACAAACCCTCGGTATCTTTTTATTATAATCTCATAGGCAGACGTCTAAGCAGGCAGCACTATCTTAGACATCTTAGTACTAGTTTGTAGCTATTCACTGTTCACAGCTGCATTGTTCATGCCTTTTGCACCACGTATGCTTTGAGCCGTTCTGTAGATCATTTCAGTCTAACACCATAATCATCGTCATTATCAAACTCTGGACACAGATGCATTAACATCAAGACATGGTCATCATGGCCAGCATCAACAGTTTGAGAGAAGACAATAAGATAATTGGTGTTCAAAGTTGAAATTCAGTCTCAGGAAGAAGAAGGTGAACGAACGGCTGAAGTAATCGAAGACATTACATGATGATGATAATTAATGGACCACTGCTTCCCCAACAAAAACCTCCTCTCCCATCATCTCTTCTCATCTATCTCTATCTTGGTCACTTCTTATCCAGATGGGATGCTAGGTTTCTCCCTCTCTCTCTCTCCCCTCTTCTTTTCTCTTCTCTTTCGATTGACTTTGTCTGCATACGTTGGCTCACCATCTTGTTTGGGGTGCATGTGGGTTTTTTCCGATTCAATGATACTCCCAATCATAGTCTTTGTGATATCATCAGATCTTATGGTGGAGTTTTTAATTCTGTTTTTTTTTAAACCATTTGAGTTGGCCATCACTCCAATTATTAGCCTTAATTTTCTGTAATTTTCTAGTCTTTTACTTTTTCAAAAAGTTCGGTTTTATTGTTATCGTTAGATTCGAGTAGTACTTGCAATGGGAGCTTGGTACTAATTGTTTTGTCAATTATATTCCTAAAGTTTTTTAAGTAAAATGTGTAATTTGATATAGGAACTTCAGTAAACCAACTCAAATTTTTATTCAAAATTTTTTTAAAAGAATTCCAATAATCTTAAAGTGTCCATTTCTTTCCTTTTTTTCCTTCAAAACTTCTTTTCATCCTCCCTTTTCTCTACCTCTACATCTTTTCCTTCGAAGTTCAAAATATTACAAAACTTGATTGCTATAATTTGAAAAATTTTGAATTCAAAAAATTGCTATTGATGGTAAATGATCTGAGATTCATTTTAATCAAATTTAACTTTCTAATGAATTTTAGTAGATGTTGACAAAGAGGTTGAGAAGAGAGATACTGAGACGAGACTGAAATAGTAAAATATTATCGTAATAGGTTTGAGTCTCCATTGATTTGAGACCAAATTTGGTTTTTCCTTCAGTTTGTATGAGTTTCAGTACTAATACTTTGCTGTCGCATTTTGAGATTGGAATGATTGGATTCTTAAGAGAGGGGGGAAAGGAGGTTTTATATATGGACTGCATTTGTTTCTTTTTTCTTTATCTTGATTTATAATATATTCTACCTTTTCATTGAGTAACTTTTAAAGGTTGAAAAACACCTTGAGCTCTCAAATTGGATTCTTTCTTTTTATTCTATTGTGATTTAGATGTTAAAATTCGGATTTTGTGAACTCTTTCATATGCTTTGTTATGCCTTGAAGGCATTTTTGTTGGAAAAAGACCCATCACCTATAATCCTTCAAGAATAGTGAACAAATAGCAGTTATTGAATTTCATACATGCACTTGTGGCTTGAACATCATGTTATATGCTGTAGCAACACACCTCTTGTTCTATTCAGACTTTTGAAGTTTAATGCCTGTATCTTTAAGCAATTTGGATCTTTTGTTTGATTCAGGATGTGGGAATTCTCAGTTGGTTTATACATGATCAATGTTTGGCCAGACTCTTTATTCCTTGCTGCTGCTTGTGGACTGGTAGAGTCTGCCTCCACCGCATTATTGGGTCCCCTTGTTGGACAGTGGGTTGATAAGGTGACATATGTTAAGGTTTGTTCCTAGTTTTATCCTATCATGCCCCTTTTGTCCCTGCATTACAAATGTGTTTGGAAACTCTTTCCACAACAGCTATATGATCGAACAACTCCAATTCTTGAACTGTTGGAGATATTCAAATGGACCAAAAATGAGACAGATGCATAGATTGACAGAAACATTGTTAAAACATTCAAATGCATTTAGATCTTCCACCACAAGGCTAAAGATAGAACAAAGAAGTCAGACATCTATCAACTGGTGCTATTAGGAGGAAAATTGGCAGAAACAACAAGTGTTTATCTAGAGGATGGAATAGCAACTCTTTTGCTTTTTAAGAGTTTAAAAAAATGCCTAATAGTCCGTATTGAGTTGTCTGATCTTGAAGCTTATACTTTTTTTTCATGATCGGTTGTAGGTTATACTGTTGACATACACGCATCCTGGATTTTTGTTGACAGGTTCTCCAAATTTGGTTGTTAACCCAAAATATCTCTTTTATGGTTGCTGGAGGCACAGTGGTTGCGCTTCTGCTCTACTCAGACTTAAAGACAACAAATTTTGTGGCATTCATTTCTGTGGTCATATTAGTCAATATCTCTGGTGCTGTTGGTATGCTTTCCACCCTTGCGGGAACCATCTTGATCGAAAGAGAATGGTGAGTGCATGTGTAGCCCAATAAAAAATGTGAAAAGGGGAGGGTGGGGCATTAAGTCGAGCCACTCTAGGCATAAGAGTTATCCCTATTTTGCACATACATATGTAGTTAGAACTACCGTTCCACCTGTCATTATATCGTTAATTGGATTCTATTTTAAAACTTTCTGTAACGCCATTTTCAATTTTAAAACAAACATTACAACCCAAATTCTGGTGAGAATCTGAGATATCTTTCCATCATTTTGTCCCTTAAGTACTCAAAGGGAGCATAAAGATTTTTAGATTTTACAGAATGACATTGATGTTTGAATTCTCTAATGCAACACATTTATGTTTAAATTGCAGGGTGGTGGTAATATCAGAAGGCCAGCCTCCCGGAGTACTGACAAAGATGAATTCAATTATAAGACGGATTGATTTAACATGCAAGCTAGGTGCTCCTGTAATATCCGGATTCATAATAAGCTTTGTATCTCTGACAGCATCGGCGGTGACACTAACACTCTGGAATGTCATAGCTGTGTGTTTGCAATATTGGCTTCTTATGCATGTATATAATTGGATTCCAGCTTTAAGTGAAAGCAGCTACAAGAGGATGTCGAGACTTTCACCAACAGATCTGGAAGAGAGCTCATCTACTTCTCAGGAGGAAAAGAGCTTATTGTCTTATGATGGAAAAATTTTGGAGTTAAACCAAAACAGCTTCGGAAGGAAAATAATTGAGCAGTTTACTAAGATTCCTCTTGTTAGTGCTTGGAGATTGTACTTACAGCAAGATGTGGTGCTCCCAGGAATAGCTCTTGCTTTATTGTATTTCACTGTCCTCTGGTGAGCTCTTAAGACCATTGATTTATTATAAAGGTACTCCCTATTTAAGGGAGTGCTTGGGAACAACTGCATGCCAGAGTGGATTTTAATGGTCTACTTTGTAGTATTTTCTGTTATCAGAAGGAAAATAAAGATGGAGATATGTCACTAACTCTAATGCGTTCTGCCAGATTCCTCTTTGAATTCCCCTTTTATATCTCCTCCAAAGGCACAACTGTTCCCCACATTCATAATTTCAACACTTAGCTCAAAGTCACGTCCGTAGACAACCCAGGATATTTTACAAGCTATAAGAGATTGATATTTATTGCTTTTTGAGCTTTGATTCTTCGGCACAATTCTTATTTTAATTTGTTATTGCAGCTTTGGAAGTTTGATGACTGCTACACTGGAATGGGAAGGTATACCTCCATATGTTATTGGAATTGCTCGTGGAATTAGCGCCATAATAGGAATAGCTGCAACTTTTCTGTACCCTATCCTGGAATCTAGCATTTCTACGCTTCGAACTGGACTCTAGTCCATATGGTCTCAGGTATTTGGTTTACGAGACTGAAAATATTGACATTCTTCTCCTTTTAGAGACATATAATATAAATCCCCTGCCTTTCCGGAATATAAATCCGTTGTAGTGTATTCTTACATTGAGTTAGTTAATAGTGTTAGAATATTTATAATAAGGGTAGTTTAGGCATTTTCTTTATGTTGTGTTGTCCTACTATATAAGGGTTACTTTGTGTATTTCTGGGGTAAGCTGTGTATTACAAACTTTCTAAATGAATAATCTATTCTTCCTTTCTCTTCTCTATTCTCATTGATCAATTCTAACTTGGTATTAGAGCTCTTTAAACCCAAATAATAATTTAGAATTGAAGATTAGAAGATAACCTGGTGAACCCGCCGTGAACTGACTTGGTGAACCCGACGTGAACCGATGATGAATAGTATTGATGTCATTAGTCTCCAACTGTGAATACGACCAGTAGGATCGAATCTTCATGGGTTTCGATGGCTGTTCTCCTCCCCACAGTGCATCGACTGTCTTCTCCAAGCACCAATTGGCTCACAGTGCACCGACTGCCCCCCTTGGTCTATTTTGTGATTGTTGTGTGTCGGCCGGGTGTTTTGTGCTGTTAATGTGCATCGGTGAACTGTTCTTTGCCTTCACAGTGTGTCGATTGATTTGTGATTGATACTTTCTGGTTGTCTATTGATTTAATTTCCTGGATTGTGGCTGTGTTGTTGGATTGTTGCTATTATTGTTGTTTTCTTGTTGTGGCTTTGGCTGGCTTTGGCATTCTGGACTGTTTCTTGTTGTGGCTACGATAGTCTGATAATTTGGCTTATTTGATTTATTATTGCTGGGTTTTTTACTTATTTGGTGGTATTGCTTTTTTAGGCTGTTGAGTTTGAATTTGACTGTGGTGCGTATTGATAATTGTTACTCTAATGGCAAGTGGTCACTTTGATTCACTTCAAGCCATTAGTGTGAGACTAATTGGTGGAAATTATGTTTATTGGGCTTATGTTATGAAAAAAAAATTTTTGGGGAAAGACATGTGGAATTACATAAGTGGTGTTGTATAGCCTCCAACTGATACTAAGACAGAAAATTATACTATTTTGAAGAGTACTTGGGATATCAATAATGCAAAAATTATCACTTAGATTAATAACTCAGTTGATCAGACCATTGGGGTTCATCTATCCAAGTTTACCACTGCTAAGGAGATTTGGGATTATTTGGCCACACTTTTTGTTCAGTCTAATTTTGCAAAGAGGTATCAGCTAGAGCATGAGATTCAAGATGCGCGACAAGGGGACAAAACCATCCAAGAATTCTACTTTGTTATAATTGGCTTCTGGGATCAGTTAGCATTTACTGAACCCATTGAGTTGAGCACTAATTTGGCATATCGCACTTTCAGAGAGGAACAGAGGCTAGTGCAATTCTTGATGGCCCTTAGGGATGACTTCAAGGGACTTCATGGTTCCATTCTTCATTGTCATCCACTTCCCTCAGTGGATACAATTGTTAATGAGCTCTTAGCTGAAAAGGTTCGCCTTAAAGTCCTTTCTGGAAAGGGTTTTCTTCCACTACCAAATCAGACTGTCTTGGCTGTTCTTTCCAAAGTGGCCTCTAATTCCCAAAACAAATATCAAGGTTGAGTTGCTTCTGATGAGTGTAGCTTCTGTCGTGAAAAGGGCCACTGGAAGGCCCAATGTCCAAAGTTAATGAACAAGAATGCACGAGGATCTCAAAATCAGTCATTTAGGTCCAGAGATAGTCATACAGCAGCTGTAGCACCACCAGTGGATGAGTCAACTCATCAGCTCCCAACCTGACTATGCTTGCAGATCGGCTACAAAAGTTTCTTTCTCTTCATCAGCCTGGTGCTCTCACAGTTTCTCCTATTATAGGTTCGTTTAGCTCAGGTCCTTCAAGTATTTCTCGAACTGCCTAGGTCTTTTACTCAGGTGCAACACATTATATGACCAGTGACTCCTCTTTGTTTGCATCTATTGTTTCTCCGCCCTCTTTATCTGTCCTTGCTGCCAATGGTTCTCACATGTCATTAGCTGGTGTTGGGACAATTATTTCTTCCAACATTACATTTTCCGATGTCTATTATATTCCTTAACTTACTTTGAATTTACTTTCAGTCAGTCAACTATTTGATTTTGGACTTTTGGTTCATTTCTCTTCCTCTGGTTGTGTTATGCAAGATCCACGGTCCAAGAAGTTAATTGGGACTGACCGTAGATAGGGCAGGTTATATGTGTTGGAGGAGTTGCATGTCCCAGTTTCTGATGCTGCTGATTCTACTGTTGTTTTATCTTCTTTTCGTTTGAGTCTAGACTCATCTAGTTTTTATTTATGGCATTCTCGTCTTGGTTATATTTCTTATTCTCGTTTAAAATTTTTAGCTTCGACTGGGAGTTTGGGTAGTTTAGAAAGCCATGACATTTCTGATTGTAGTGGATGTAAGTTGGCTAATTTAGTGCATTGCCATTTAATAAAAGGGTTATTTTTTCTCTTGCACCATTTGATCTTGTTCACTCTGATATATGGGAACCGGCTCCTATTCCTACACAAAGAGGGTCCAAATATTATGTTTCATTTATTGATAATTACACGCGGTACTGTTGGGTATTCTTGATGAAACGTCGGTCTGAATTCTTTTCTATCTTCACTACCTTTCGTAACATGGTACGCACTCAATATTCCACTGTCATTAAATGTTTTCGATGTGATCAGGGCGGTGAATATACTTTTACTTCTTTTCATGATCTGTTGAAATCTGATGGTACACTTTATCAATCTTCTTGCACTGCCACACCTGAGCAGAATGGTGTTGCCGAACGAAAATACCGTCATATTTTAGAGACAGCACGTTCCCTTCTTTTATCAACACATGTTCCCAGCTTATTTTGGGGGGAAACAGTTTTGATAGCAGTTCATTTGATCAACACCATTCCTACTATGCTCACCTCTGGAGTCTCTCCATTTGAAAAGTTATGTGGTAAGCCACCTAACTATTTTTCTTTACGTGTGTTTGGTTGTACTTGTTTTGTTTTACTCTCCAGTATTCTTTGTACCAAACTTTCTGCCCGTTCAGCTTTATGTGTATTTCTTGGTTATGGTGAGGGTCAAAAAGGGTATCGTTGCTATGATCCCATCACCCGCAAACTTTATGTCTCTCGTCATGTTATTTTTATGGAGCATATTCCCTTCTTCTCAATTCCATCTAGTTCTTCCTCATTGAATAAGTCTAACCTGCTATACATTGATCCCTTTTCTACCAATGTTCCTCATGATACATATGTTGGTGATATACTGTGTCAGATCTTCATCTTCTGAGTCAACTATTACTCGTCCCCCTATTGTACATACATATGTTCGTAGGATTCCAGTTATTTCCTCTTCGGATATAGTGCCTCTCCTTTCTTCTCCGGTCGCCCAATTAGGTTCAGACAGTGTGGATCATACCCCACGCTATCCTCAGTGCTCTCGCAAATGTCCAGACAAGTTTGGTTGGAGTAATACTTGTTATTCTTCTAACTTTTGTTCTTTCCTTACTTCTATTCATTCTCTATCTGAACCCTCCTCCTACAAGGAGGCATTACTTGATCCACTTTGGAAACAAGCTATGGATGAGAAGTTGTCTGCCTTACATAAGACCAGAGTTTGAGAGCTAGTGTCTTTACCGCTTGGTAAACGTATCATTGGTTGTAAGTGGGTTTATAAGATAAAAACCAAGTCAGATGGTTCAGTGAAACGATATAAAGTTCGATTAGTAGCTAAGGAGTTTGCTCAGGAATATGGTCTAGATTATGATGAGACTTTTGCTCCTGTTGCCATGATGACTACTGTTCGCACCGTGATTGCAGTTGCTGCCATTCGACAATGGTGTTTGTTTCAAATGGATGTGAAAAATGCATTTCTTCATGAAGATTTGACTGAAGAGGTTTTTATGACACCTCCCCCTGGATTATCTTATAGTTCTGGCCAAGTATGTCGCCTTCATTGTACCTTATATGGTCTTAAACAGGCTCCTAGAACATGGTTTGCCAAATTTTCTTCGATTATCTGTGACTTGGGTTTTCGTGCCAGTGACCATGATTCAGCTCTCTTTTTACGGTCTACTTCCTCAGGTTCTATTATTCTCTTACTATATGTTGATGATATGATTATTACGGGTGATGACACTGTTGACATCTACTTATTGAAAATCCAGTTGCAGGATTATTTTGAGATGAAAGATTTGGGGCAGCTTAGATATTTCTTGGGTATTGAGATTGTTTCCTCTCCTAAAGGATATCTTTTCTCTCAATCCAAGTATGCTTCAGATGTTATTGGACTAGCTCATTTATCAAATAATCGGATAGTTGAGACACCTTTAGAGCTCAATGTTTGTTACTCTTCGTCTGACGGTATTCTCTTATCTGACCCAACCCTCTATCGAACTATTGTTGAGAGTTTAGTATATATCACAGTCACTCGTCCGGATATCTCTTATGCTGTTCACATTGTGAGTCAATTTGTTGTCTCACCCGCCACTGTTCACTGGGCTGCTGTTCTTCGCATTCTTCGGTATCTCCATGGTATTCTATATCAGAGTTTACTCTTTCTTCACTCTTCATCTATGGAACTCAGGGCTTACTCTGATGCTAACTGGGCTAGTAACTCTATGGATCGCAAGTCCACCATTGGTTTCTGCCTATTTCTCGGGGATTCTCTTATTTCCTGGAAAAGTAAAAAACAAACTGTTGTTGCTCGTTCTTCTGCTGAAGCTAAGTATCGTGCTATGGCATCTACTGCAGCTGAAATAGTCTGGTTACGATGGCTCCTTATTGATCTTGGCATTTCGGTATCATCCCCTACTCCTATGTTCTGCGACAACACCAGTGCTATTCAGATTGCTCATAACTCAATCTTCCATGTGCGCACAAAACACATTGAGATTGATTGTCACTTTGTGCGTCATCATCTGCAGTAGGGCACCATCACTCTCCCCTTTCTTCCTTCCACAATGCAGATAGCGGATTTTTTTACGAAGTCTCATACCATAGCACGTTTTAGATTCCTTCTTGGCAAGCTCTTGATGTTTTCTACCACATCATGTGTTTGAGAGGGTGCGTTAGAGTATTCATAATAAGGGTAGTTTAGGCATTTTCTTTATGTTGTGTTGCCCTACTATATAAGGGTTACTTTGTGTATTTCTAGGTTAAGCTGTGTATTACAGACTTTCTAAATGAATAATCTATTCTTCCTTTCTCTTCTCTATTCTCATTGATCAATTCTAACTAATAGTTGGTCTTAGTCACATTTTTTTTTGTTGTGGTGTCCCTGAATTTTATGCAGTGGATGTGCCTCTTGGTATGTGTTGCCTCGATATGGGTCCAAAACAACCTCACATCAGCCTATATGCTGATGGGTGGAGTAGCAGCATCACGTCTTGGACTGTGGATGTTTGATTTATCTATCATCCAACAAATGCAGGTAAGGGGGATTAAATTTGAGTCTAACCATTTTAAGTTAGGATAATCGTATGGTTCTCGTTCTTTTAATGTGTAAACGATTTCTGCGTTATCCAATGATAATTGAATAGGATCAAGTTCCCGAATCTAATCGTTGTGTTGTGGGAGGGGTTCAAAATTCAGTTCAATCTCTTCTGGACTTCATGACTTATTTTATGGGGATAATCATCTCCAATCCGCAGGTATTTTCCTTGGCATCACAACTTTTGGTCTGATGTTTTAGGGGGATAAAACTGTGTTCTTGCATAAACTGTGAAAATATGTATGCTCGTATGTGATCGAATGATATAATGATAGATATATGTCAAACAACTGCAGTTAGGATTGTTAACATCTCTGTGCATGTGCATGTCTGGTGTTGGCACCAATCATAATTAAAGCAGAAGTTTAAATTGTCATAACTCATAAGAAGCATCAGTTTCCTCTTTAAATTAAGATCCATGATATGAAGAATCTAAAGTATCCCTTGTATATAGCACTTGGACAAAGAAAACAAATAGTGAAAATGTGAAAGCTGACCAGTAAACAATGAAGGAATTGAAGACATTGACACAGACCAATTTACTTTCAAAATCACTGGAATGTATTAGAGCAATGGAAAATAGTAAAGAAAAGAGCTAACTTATTATTGTTACATGGAGGGAATGTGAAGGGAAAGATGAATTTATAGATCAAACAGAAAGAATACAGTGAAAATCCTCTTGAATGTCTTGGATAATGAAGATTTCACTGTAGTTAAATGTTTTTGAATTTGATATATATTAGGCAAAATATTCTGATTTTGTAAAAAACGTTGTGATTCGGTATTGTCTGATAGCCCATCAAGCACTTTACCTTAAAATTATGCCAGTATCGTCTGAAATGAGTAATTATGAGTGAAATGTCTTCCATATCATTTAGAGGGACATATTCTAACCATTCGGATACATTAACCTGCAGAGAAAATTCTGCTAATTTAAGCTTCATGAATCTGAGCACTGTTTAGTGATGAACTGAAGCAACAACCAAGTGTCAACCAAAACATGCCAGGCATGACAGCTAAACATTAATAAAGTGTTGACGCTCTCACTTTTACGAAGTCTTCATAGGGAAATTTTCACTGCTTGAGTTAAACATGTGTATAAAAAATATAAGGAACAAGTTCCTTTTACGTTCTCATAAGTGATCGTCAGCTTTTAGTTTGTTTCTATAGCATTTGGTTTTGAGTTAGGATTTCTGAATGTGACTGTGGGTTACCTTCTTTGTCATCACCTTAATACTAGAGTTGGGTGACTTTGGAAGAGTGATTGGTCATCTAGTTATTCTTAATTTTGATCAAGGTTATCACCATTGTCAGATGAAGTTGAATAGATGCTAAAATACAATCTCACGGCTTCCTACCTTTTTCTGATTCTCAGTTCCTGCCATCCTGGTAATGCTTGGGTTCTGTTTATGTTGCCTGCTGTAACTTATTTCTATTATAAACTATCCACTCGTTTTCCCTGCATCAAATTATTAAATTCAACTCAAGCAACCCTTTTCCCAACTCCCGATTAATATGTCTAGGATCATAGCTTCAGCTAAAGGTCCTAAGAGTTATTACCTTCTTTCCAATCTTGCTTTCTTATATCATTAGACATAAAAAAAGCTTGTGTGCGCTCGTTGTACATGTGCCTGAACCCATGTAAAATGTGAAATGGTCACATGCTTTAAGGAATTTATGATGAGTCAGAATAATAGGCGATAAGAAGTTCAGTTTGAAGATAGATGGGGAGGATGAAAAAGAAAGATAAGTAGCTGGCAAAAGTGCTCACATTTGATGGAGTTAACATCATCTTTGAGAATTGACAATTTGTAAATAAGATATTTCTTTGAGATATTCATGCCTGAATATTATTTAATTTGCTTTCAACTGTTGTATTTGTGTTTAGGATTTCTGGAAGTTGACAATGTTATCCTTCATATTGGTGACACTGGCCGCAGTATTGTACAGTCTACACGTTTATCGAGTACAGAAGCATCTCTTCCATGGTGAGAAGGTGTTTATGCTGGTCCAATGGCGTGTAAGATCCTCTTAAGGTTCATGTCGAAATAAAGTTGAATTGCCTTTTACTTCTTGTTGTGGATATGTGAGGCCTGTTTCAGTTTGTGATCCACCACATCCTTTGTAAACTAATCCAAGATGAAATTTATATAATGATCATCATTATGGGATCCTATATGACACTGTTTGATGATCGAATTGCCACTCATTCAAACCCTTGGTGATTCAGTCCAAATCTCTTGTCTGCTATGCCAACTACTAATATAATATTATCCAGTAAACAATACACTATGATTCTGTGCTGCTAACATTTTTGTACGGTTGATGACTCTTTGACCTGGTCTTCTTTTGTTGCCTTCATCAACCAAACCCCTGGATTAAGTAACTTAAACAGGCAGAGAAAATGATTTGCTAGCTTAAAAGTTTGTCAAGGTTGTACTATTGACTTGGGTCCAAATTCTGCTTCATTTTTTGGAATAATTGATCGATCCTAAACACCATGAGAAAATTTATCCATTGTAGAATGACTTCAATTTCAGAGAAATAAAAACAAATAATCACTAGTATGTCATTTTTTTCATATGAATGTTATCAGCCATGAGTTTTTTTTTTGTATGGACCTTACTGCCTAAACAATGTTTGTGATCAAAAAACAGCAATAAGGGCATGAGCACTATTGCCTGTGCCTATCGATTAGAAAGCCCTTGCCAGTGAGTTGTCCACCTCTAAAGAATCAGGACTGTATATATAATCTTTTTCTAGCTGCAGGACTAGGAGCTTCAGTTTAGATGGCTGCAATTATCAGATTGGACTGTAATCCCACATGCACAGATGCAATTACTAATTTTGTTTTCATAATGATGTGTTAATAACCCGAAGAAAGGGAAACAAAATATACGAACAAAAGAAAGATCGGTCTTTTAATTTTCACGTAAGTCTTGTTGGATCCCTCATAGATTATACTGGTGATTTGGTCATGTGGTGCAATCCTATCCTGATATGTTGGTCTACCCCTTAAGTTTTTGATTCCAACGTTGGCTGTCAGAAGAAAGTGCCTGTTAAGACGAATCATTACAGGCTTTACTGGTGGTTCAGATATATGGTGCAATATTATCTCCACTCTTTATTAATCTTACTTTTTTTGGTTTTCGAAAAGGAATGCTAGTCTGGATACATCCATGCCATTTTATATTAAGATTCCCAGATATGCTATGAACTTTTATTGACAAAATCAGTCTTTATCCTGATTTCAAAATCCTTGAAACTAATCTAAATTGAAGGCATAAATTGCATGTATCAATATAAGGCAGAAAAGTAAGTGGAAATCATAAAGTTACGGAATTTAAATCTAGTGTTTTATTTGACCTTTGTTCTATGCCTTGAGATGGGAAGAGATATGAGTGCTTTCTACTTTTAGCAGAGGACCACACTCTCCCTCCGACAAAGTCAAGAATCTAAGACTTGATGTATGCTTGCATCTATCAAAGTTGAAGAAATCAAGAGATTAAATTAAGGAAAAGTTAACATAAAAACACAGAAAAAGGAACAGAAACCCAATTGCCTATGTCCATGCATAACATGCCATAAAACAGTGTTTGGCAGATAGCTCCTCTTCAATGTTTTCGTCATAAAAAGTAGCTTCCACTAGCAACTTTACTGCTTTTACTAACTTATTCATAAATTCTGGAGGGAAGTTAAAAATAAGTTAAAAGGCGAAATTTTCAGCAGAAGTTAGCAATCTCTTGATCCACAATATATAGTTCTAGACATTGTTGGCTTTTCAATGCCTGTGAGCATTGCATTTCTTCTACACAAGAATCTTAACCGTTTTTCTTTTCTCATATGTTGTTTTGGCTTTGATTTCAAACAGTTGGGTATTTCAAGGGGCATTGTTTTCATTCTCATCCACATTCAGGTTGATTCAGTACTCAGGTGGTACTGGTGATTCAGTTATATGGGAAAAACTATCTTAAGGCATATTATTTTACTAATTATTGTAACTTTAATCACAATTTGTTTGTTTTAGAGTAGAATGCCTGATTAGATTATTTTAAAGGAATCCCACGTAATGGCGGTCTAGATGGTATTATGTTTAGTCCCTCATCTGTCTCAACTTCTGAATCAGGAATCACTAAAGTACTTAGATTGTCTTGCTGATTTGGTTATATGGTGAAAGACTATCTTGAGACTCTGGTCTACACCCTCAATTGGAGTTGGTAATCCCTAGTTTGATTGTTTCAGAAGAGAATGCCTGGCCAGATGATTTTTGAGGTGCTTTATTTGGTGATTTGGATACATGGTGCAAAATTATCTTGACCTTCTAGTCCTCACCTTCACTGAAAATTATCCCACTTTTTTATGTTGGTTAAGAAAGAAACCCCTGTCCAGACGAGTTCACACTGGTTTATATAAGATGTTCTGTCCTCATATGCTATGGATAGGCATCCATCAGGAGTTGGAAAATATGAAATCTAGTGATGCTTGTGAAATAGCAATGTCCTATCACATGATAAAACAAATTCCACTCGGTGCGGTTTCTGGCATAGAGCAAATGCTTAACCCATGGATATTCTCTGGATTTTTGGAATTGTAAAATAAATTGAATTCGAGCTCAGTCTTCCATAACCTTTGTTTCTGTACCACAAAAGGAAGAGGAAGAGCCATGGGAGCTTCTCTATCTTTATTGTCGAATCACTCTTCATCACCTAGGGTGCTAGCTCAATGATCTTGTTCATGTAGGTCTTGTTGGATCACTTCATAGGTTATGCTGGTGATTTGGTCGTATGGTGCAATACTACCTTGATCTGTTGGTCTATCCCTTAACTAAAGTTTTTAATTCCAACAGTACCTTTCAGCAGAAAATGCCTGTTTAGATGAATCATTACAGGTTCTACTGGTGGTTTAGAATATATGGTGCAGCATTATCTCCACCCTTTATTAGTCTCACTGTTTTTTTTTTTTCTTTTGAAAAGGAATGCTAGTGTAGATGAATCCTGGAACGTTGAAATTCGCTGATATGCTGTGGACTTCAATTGACTAATCGGTCTTCAGCCTGAATTGAAAATTATTACAACTAATCTACTTTGAGGGCATATTCGAGTGTATAAAAATAAGATGATGTAAAATGGAAATCATAAAATTAGTTTAATTCGAGTGCAGTGCTTATTTGACCTTGTTATATACCTTAAAGATGGGAATAGTCATTAGCGCTTTCTATTTTTAGCATTGGATCACACTATGTGACCAAGGAAGTCAAGAATCTAAGAACTATTGTATTCTTGCATCTATCAAAGTGGATGAAAAATAGAGATTATATTAGAGAAAGAAAACTGTTTAAAAAAGATTGAAGTGTCTATATGTAGAAATCTATTTACGTATTTGAAGCTCCAGAACAGGAGGCTAGTATACAACCATAACGAAACTTCCTTTTTTTTTTTTTTTTTTATTCCGATCAGATTTATGTTGGCTTCGTTGGGGGGCTGGTTAATGACAAATCGATCATTGCTTAAGAGACGATTCTACCCACTTTTAGTTATATCAACAGGGGATCCAATTTACTAGTGATTTGGTCATAAGGTGCAAAACTATCTTGACGCTTAGTGTTTTTTTACCACTTAATTGGAATTTTGATCACAGTGTGTTTCTTTCAGGGTGGTTATAGGGAAAGACTATATATCTTAACACTCTGGTCTTCACTTTCTGTTGAAATTGTGAAGTCCCAGGTTGCTTGTTTCAAAAGATATGCTGCAAAATTATCTTGACCTTCTAGTCTTCACCTTCACTGAAAATAATCCCACTTTTTTCTTTGGGTTTTGACAAAGGAATCCTGTCCAGATGAATTTGTACTAGTTTTTGTTGGATGTTCTTTCCTTGGTAGCTAATCAGAATCCATCAGGAATTAAAAATTATTAAAGTTAGTGTGGCTTGGGGACATATGTAGAGCAGCAAATGCCTATCCCACGAGGATTCCCATGTTAGGGGTAGAAATCGTGCGTTCGGATTTCATCCTTGAACAGAAGGATTTTGGCTGACTTGGACTCTTTCCTAGGACAATCTTAGTAGCCTTTACCTCTCAGTGCCCGTGCCTATCCCATGAGAATTCCCATGGATAGTGTTAGGGGTAGAAACGCGCGTACGGATTTCATCCCTGAACGGAAGAATTTTGGCTAACTTGGACTCCTTTCTAGGACAATCTAGTAGTCTTTATCTCTCAGTGTCCGTGCGGAGTTTCGTCTCACAACGACTAAGAGTCGTCTCCCCCACCTCTTTATAAGCCTGAACCCCTTAGGGATGGGTACCCACTAGAGCGCTAGTGGATACCTCTTCCATAGGAAGTGTCACTTATATGGCAGGGGGGAGACGACTCCTACCCGATGTGGGATGGAAGTCAAAGACTACTGGGTGGTCGCTTTAGCACACGCCAGGTCAACCGAAATCCTTTGAGAGGGAGACAATCCTGTCCACCAAAAGGCACATTTTTGTTAGGGGTAGAAATCGGGCGTTCGGATCTCATCGTGTTTGGATCTCATCCCTGAACGGAAGAATTTTGGTTGACCTGAACCCCTTCCTAGGGTAATCCAGTAGCCTTTACGTCTCAGTGTCCGTGCGGAGCTCCGTCCCACATCGACCGAGAATCTTCTCCCCCTTGCCATATAAGTGAATACTTCGTATGGAGGAGGTACCCACTAACACCCTGATCCGAACGAAGTTTTGCATGGACACTAAGAGGTAAAAGCTATTGAATTACCCTAGGAAAGGATCCAAGTCAATCAAAATTCTTTCATACAAGAATAAAATTCGAATGCACGATTTCTATTCGTAAAAGATAGTTTATTGTGTTTGAGGGCCTATAACAAATGCTTACACACCAGGAAGATTCCCATGGATTTTTTAAATCATAAAACAAAGTCAATTTGAGTCAGTGTACCCTTAGCTTTGTTTCCGTAACACAAAAGGAGGAGGAATCTATATCATCGGATCACTCCACAATACAAAGGCTGCTACCTAAAGTGAACTTGGGTCACTCTATGAGCTTTGGTAGTTAATAGTTAGTTGGTGTTGACCATCCTCCTTTGAAAATGTTACTGTCCCCTACTTTCATCGTTTCGGTAGAGAATACGGATCAAAATTTTATTTTGGTGTATTATTTTAGTCACTTAAAAAACAAAAATATTTCAACGTATTTCAAAAACATTTTGATCTA